AAGTCGTGGCCTGGGACCCCGAATACCTGAGTTTTCCAGGGGTCTAACAGTATGAAACTCTCAAAGAGCCAATAGTTTTTTTTTTTTTTTTCAATCATGCATTGAAGAATGTAATTCCTTCTTATAACATTAACTCCACCGGAGGATCAGAATAGTCTCGTCATTTTGGCCAGGGTGCCCTTTCCAGCAAGATGACCAAGAATATTTGGGAGTGAGTCCACTCCCACACCATAAATCAAGTGATTGGTGACTGGTGAGTGTTCTGAAATGGGACACTTACTGGACAAATTACATAACCCAGGTTTTATCACCAGTAAGGGGGCGAATTCCACTGTAAACCAAAAGTGTAGGAAGTGAAGCAAACAAATATTTACTGCTATAAACTATTTAGAATAAGTAACACCAGGAGGGGCTTAAAAGGGGGAGGGAGACATACTGGACACATGCGAACTGTCTCCCTGAAACACACCCACGCAGACCCTACCTTCTGATGTCCTGGGAAGGCACCGAGTCTGATCTCAGCATCCACCAAGGCCTCTTCATCCAGTGTCACAACCTCACCGTTAGAGCTGTCTTTCCACTTAGGAGACATCACGTTATGGACCAGTTTAATTGCTACTGACTTGTGCACCGTGTTTGTATTTGCCCAGTAAATTCCTATTTGAAAAGCTTCCTGGAAAAACAATGCCTCAATTTTATTGTTAATTCTTCCATATTTTACTTCAGGATTTAATCTCCAGGATTTAAAAAAAAAATTATACAAAGCCGGGTGTGGTGGCACATGCCTTTAGTCCCAGGACTTGGCAGGCAGAAGCAGGCAGATTTCTGAGTTCAAGGCCAGACTGACTGGTCTATAGAGCAAATTCCATGACAGCCAGGAATACACAGAGAAACCCTGTCTTGAAAAACCCAAAACAAAACAAAATTATATAATAGATCTATTAAGGCAACCAAATAGTCCCCCTGTATTTTTTGGTGGTGGTGGGGCGGTAACAACAACATGTATTTCATTTTGGTTTCCAATATCCTTTTTGGTTCACAACGGAATTCAAGTTCGTGGAAGAGAGAAAAACCAAATGCAAGCTGTGACTACCCCATGAATTCCAAAGACTGGAAAATGGAGAGGCTTCATATCTCATTTGACATCAGAATAACATGCAATGCTAGGCCCACACGGGCTAACATTCCAATCCCACAGGGGGAGAGCATCTGGCGGCTTTAAGAAGTAGGAGACAGACAATTGGATAAAGATGTTTATAAACTCAACTCACAGACAAGATTCTGAAATTGCTCTCTAGGAAACATTTTTAAGGTTTCCTTTTAAACCTATATTTCTCCTTAAAATGGGTCAGCTTTATGGCTTCAGTTCTCTGGTGTCACAGTTTGTCGGTTAAGTTTCATTTTCTGAGTAGGATTTTGTTCCCTGTGTCACCGATGCTTCTGTGGTGTTATAACCAACAAATGAACTCTCACAATTACGGACATTCAGGTCCAGTTGTAAAGGAAATTGGGCTCAGTGTTTAGCGTACAATACAGCTTGTGTGCTTGTCAGGGAGCTTGTGTGCAGTGGGAACGAGCAGGAAAGTGGTGCGTGTTATCAGATGTAATGATAACTCAGTCATGGCTAGTACCGCTGATGAGGAAAAACACATCTGAAAAATGTTTAAACAGCAAAGAGCATTCCATACCCTTTACGAACGTACCCACCAGGTCAGCTTTCCCTAAGTGATTCACTCTGTTACGGCTAAGAGAAAAAGCTAGTTCCTGAGGAAAAGAATGCACTAGCTTTCGGTTATATTACCTGGAAATTAGGAGGGATGATGATTTTGCCAGCAGGAACCTGAAGAACAATCTTCTCCCCTTCAAACAGCCAGAGGTCCCACCTGGACTGATTGATGAGCAGGGCCCAGGGCAGCAGCTCTATCAACAGGGTTCTGACATATGGTTTCCAGAGTGACAGCTTCACTCGCATTGGGCTATCCCACTGACTCAGCTGCTCATTCCTGTTCCAAACAACACATCCGAGTGACTCACCCACACACGCCGTGCTCCTGCAGGGTACCTTTGCACACCGGACCTACCCAGGGCTGCATTAGCAAGCGGAAGAAAGTGGCTTGTCGTGTAATGATGCTTTGCCTTAAGAGTATGACATCCCTGAGGCTAAAGCGGACTCGATGACGTCAGAATATGACAGGGGCTTGCAAACAATCTTCCCCAAGACATTTACTGCATCTGGCATAACAGAGCCTGAGGAGACTGGGACGTTCATACGGGATCCCCAGCACAACACACCTCAGGGTGTGCCCATGAAGGTGTTTTGGAGAGGTTGGATTCCGAGTGTGTGAGGCACCACCAACAGGCTGGGGCTGAGAGGAATAAAAGTAAGGCAGAGGCAGCTACGAGCAAAGACATTGTCTTTATGTGCTCAGGCTGCCATGATGGGAGCTGCTCATATCTGTGCTGCCCTCCCTACGGAATGAGCTGAGACCTCAGAAACTGTGAGCCAAACAAATCTTTCTTACTGCAAGGTATTTCACACCACAGCACAAAAAATATAGATAATACAGCTAGTACTTTAGTGATCAGTTCTTCCTTCCTTCCTTCCTTCCTTCCTTCCTTCCTTCCTTCCTTCC